GGGGGGCGGGGCAGCCTGCAGGAGGCAGAGACCATCTCCCTGGGATCCCCCACTCTCCCTTACACTCCCACTGCCTTTTCTTCAAACTCCCTGCAGTCCCTACTGGCTTTCACCCTTACCCTCCTGCCTCTGGCTCAGTACAATGGGGGAGCATGACTGAACCCCATACTGGGAGCGACTGAGGTTGTGGGGTTCCAGTTGCCTTCCCACTGTCCTGTGCAAGGGAGCTCCCAGTAGCACAAGAATGGAGACTGGCCTCAGTTTCACAGAGAGGGCAAGAGGATAGAGCCCAGGTCTGAGATCAAGGCAGCACTTGACCTAAAAGGAATGTTGGCTCAAAACATCCACTGTCTTCTTTCCTCAGGGGAAACATTTCTTTGGTTGGACATTTCTTTGGTGTGTTTCTCCCTGGGGTACCTGGTCAAGGTGGGAATCAACCCTTCAGGCTCTGGGAACAAGATTGCAGAAAGAAAGGAAGGTGTGTGAATTGTTGGGTCTGGTCCTCCTAAAAACATCCAGGTGGAAAAAGTCTTGGAAGCCTATGGGAGACATTTATTGCAGCATTGTTCTGCAGCTGTGACAAGAAACCCTCTCCTTGATGGATTTCACCTGGTGCTGACCTTGCCAGTCCCTGACTGGCCCCAGGCTTGCTTTGTGCCACCTAGGCTAATATATCCCAGGTTTCAGGACTGCCTGTACCTGGAGGAGGTGTGCAGGATTTGACATGGACAAAACTAGGATCCAGAGTGCCCAGAGTCTGCCATGGAAAATTTTAGAGAGCAAATGTGTCAGGCAGTTTGGGATGCCCAACTGTTTTGGGTGCTTTTCCAACAGTGGGCCAGATTAACAATCAACTGGCATAAATATGCCTGGAGAAACATCCTCCTGGTGGGGTAGCCTATCTGCAGACTGCTGAGGGGGTCTGGGAGCAGCTAAGTTTAGTGCACGGGGATGGCAGTCACAGTCACAGGAGGGGTTGTGCTCTAGGGACAGACTGAGCTGGGGACAAGGTACACTTTGAGGACCAAAGGCATTGCATGGGAAGGGATCTCTGCATGTATGGGGGTGGGTTGCAGTCCTGGGAGGGGTCTTGTGGATGGAGCTTTAGGGGTTTTGTTGGGGCAGGAAGGCAAATGCTGCTGGGGGACAAGCGGTAAGAGATGGGGGTGTTCTCTGCCTTCTGGAACCTGAATAATATGAGGGGAGGGCTGTTGCTCAGGTGTGATAGGGAGGGCAGAGTTACTGACCAGGGGGTATATATCCCATGGAAGCTAGCAAGGATAGTGCTGCCAGGGGTTTGTAGCAGGGTGCTGCCGTGGCAGGCTCAAGCCCAGCCTGGTTTCAGGGCTGGGCAGGCATGCCTGGGGCTGGGCAGGCCCC